TTTTGATTTGTCAACTACGCCAAAGTAATATTTTTCACTATAGATAAACACGATGTTATACAATGAATAATTTTCAATATTTCACTAGTAAAAATGTAATACATATTCGATTTTAAACTCTGCATTAAGGTTTCTCTGTGTAAATTACGGCGAAAATCAATCTGTCTTGATAATGATGTGATCTTAAGTATGCACACCTAGACTTATCCAGGCCATTTTTGCTTTCTCGATCGATACTACACATTATGAAATCCGGCCTGTCTATTGTCTATGGTTGGATGACCCCCGCAAAAGTGTGCCTTACCAACTAGATGTGTCGGTCACAATTGTTTTCAGTTTAGACAGACACAATTTGCTTGATGGTGATATGAATTTTACTCAAAACACATCTTCGCTGGACGTAGTGCAAACTATCTCGTCACGTTAATTAATTTACCAATAGTCTGTTAAAATATTCTTCCATCAGTTTAAAAAGTCAAAGGTTAATCTAACTATATGATAGTAATAGGAATATCCCTATGAAATACTTTTCATTAATTGAACCAATTGTCAATATTTCTCTTCTATCTAGAGCCCCAACATACCATGTGACATTAAACTGGGGACCCTGCTTATCAGCTAAAACGTAAGCAATGGTGTATGTGTAAAATACTCATACATTTCACAAATCTCCTGTCTTACACGATACGCAGTATATGAAGAATGAGGGTGTGTAATATCTGGCTGCTGGAGGTTCTGTGTATCTTATCAACCATAATGATTGTCAACACATCAGGTAGGATTGGATGTACACTTTAGGCTAATCCTTCATTCTGATAGTAAACCTATACGTCACGTTGATATGGACCTACATTTGTCGCATAAGCCTTAAGTGTTTTACAATGGACATATTGCTGATACATCAGGTAGGGGTACATATACAGCCTTTACCTTAGGTTCATTTTCTTTCAAACTTCCGCGTTGCACAGTTGCTGTGACAAAGTGTCAAACGATATGCATTTATTTCAGGATATGTACATGGACAATATACTAGCTATGTTTCAGATAGTGCCTTACAATTGTGATCTGGTATTTATATTGTATTTATATTGATATGGCGATTGATATGATTAACAACACTGTTCGTAAGTCAATGGTAATTAAATATTAGTTTTTCATAATCGGTATGAACCTATATAATCCACCTTATATGTATACATTTTCCGAGGGGCTTTTTGTCTTTATATCTTAGTAGTGTGCTATTATATATTTTTTGGTTTAACGTAACGTAGCGTTTTTTTTTTTAACGTGTGCAACTTGACGACTTAAACATGTCTATTTTGTTGGATTTACTTCCTTGTCTCAACGGCCTATAATAGCGACAGTATGATCCAATATGGACACTGGATCCGAACAAGCAAATGTTTGTTGGATGTGTATTACTTAATTATATATGTGGGCAAAGAAGAAGTAATAGCAGTGCAGACAAAGTTTTTTTCAATTATTCAAGGCAATCCGCCCTTATTTGAAGACAAAGTATGAACATTTACACATCACAAACTAAAACAGAGATTATCAGACACTTTGAGACAGTCATACACATACATACATAAACAAAAGTACAGAAGTTATTAATAATATGCAAGATTCTGTTAAATTACATAGTATCCCCTCTGTAAGCTTGAAACAGAAGGATAATAACTGAACCATATTCATCTTGAATACGTGAGAGGTCAAGATGACATTTACAAAACAATCTTAAAAAAATTATTGAGAAAAATCTACGTTAAAAGTGTTGGCGTTAACACTTCTCCCCTGTAGAGATTACTAATGCCACTCTGTATTTAAATCTCCGGTTAAATTGTTTAAATGTACCTATCTGGAAATCAACTTCACTTAGCATGAACTGCTTTTTCAGTTTTTTTTTTTTTAATATATTTATTCTTTAATGGGCTATGTTTTATTCGTGGAGGACATTGTCTGTGAATTCTTTAGGGCGATTTGTTTCGTGGACGTAATTGTTTGTGACGAGTTGTTTTGGTAGACGACATTTGATACATTTGTTACCAATAATATGAAAGGGCTTAAAAGAGCGTAGCTTTTGGTAATCTCTGATATTTACTGATTAAGAATACAACTTTCTGAATGAGATAAGATAATCTTTATTTAAAGTCGGCTAGTCGAGGAATAACAATAAAACACAAGCTCTAATGAGATTAAGACCGACATAACAATAAGGAGACCGTGGCAAGTTCGGTCCTTTTTTTAATTTAAGTCCGTTCTAGGAAGTATGGCATGACTTCCGTTTTTTTTTAACTATCCTGTCAGAAGAGCGGATGGCCGTAAGTTCGGCCCCCATTGGATCAGTTTAGTTATGACGTCATAAAGCATGCAACGTCAGATACTACCGCCATTATTACGAATTTTTATGTGATATTTCAATAATTTTTATCGTACAGCAATATGGTAGTGAGTGATTGGCTTGGCTTTTTTGTTTTACCATTTGAAGCTGTCAGTGTCTTACACGTTTGATTGTAAGTAAGTAGCAATTCCGTTTCAAAAAGTTCGCGTAACTAGAAGCGATATCATGATTTTCTTTCTACCCTCTCAAATTTATTTTTCTCCAGTTAAGTCATTTTACATTAGAGTTTTCCTCGCCATTTTTTCTTCGTTGAATGCCCAGCCAACTAAACTGCTAAGATCCTTAAACTTGTAAATATTAGCTCAAAAAAAAAAAAAATCAAATCAGGGATGGCCGAACTTGCCCCGGTCTCCCGTATGTAGATTTTTTTTTTATATCATTGATGATTGGTAAAAATGTATTCACAATATAATTTTGGCATCAATGACGCCATTTTCTTCCAGTCAAAGCTAAAGTAGATATTTGTTCTTGTGCGTAACGTAAATGATGGGTCGGTGGCGCAGTGGATATCGCGCTCGTCTTCACCAAGATGGCCGAATTCAATCCCGGTCACCCGCCCGACCACGCGGGTTTTCTCCGGATACTCCAGCTTCCTCCCATATTAAGAATTAAACCCTATGCGTGCTTCCGTCAGGTCACAAACAGAATGATTGAGATAAACCGGAGGAAAATAGTGGGTAATTATTATAGAATAATTGCATATGACATATTTGACGATTAGTCTAAGTAAATGTATAGAGATGTTAATTAAAAAAAGAAAATAAAAAAAAGAAAACGTTGTGATACTTTGAAGTAAATGAAATTGTCTTGATATGGATATATAGTCTCAATAACTGTTCCATCATGAAACACCGGATTGAATTTCAAATTTTGTAACTGTCACCGAGGTTTGACAGGTAATGATGCCAAATAAAATTACAGTTTCTGTCTGTAACTAGTTATAAATCGGCACGCGTTGTGAAAAAGTAATACGTTGCTGAAAAAGGGCGTTGCACTTGGGTTGGTTGTCTGGGAAAATATTGTTAATTTTGTCATAAATGCATGATCTATTGCATCTTTAATGAGTTGTGATGCATAAATAATATAAAGACTGTATCCAGACTTTCAAAAATGTCAATTATTTCGTTCATATTCTCAACAAATGGAAATCAAAAGCTGATGAAATTTGAAATGGTCTCTGTTTTGAAGATATCTCCCGATAGAAAAGAAAAAAAAAACAGAACTGGGTTGATGACAAAAAATATCTTTAAAAAATATCCGCATTTTTACTTTTTGTGCATGTGGAAAAAACTGAAATAAAAAAAAAAAAATCTTGAAACACTGAAAAAGAGATCAATGCAACGGCCATCAGTTCCAGAATTTTCCGGTATTTTTTTATATTTCCGGAAATAACCGATGAAGGCCGATGGATTGTGACGTGCTTGTGACGTCATAGTATGATAATCTCTGAACGAAGTTTCATGCCTGTTAGTATCACATTTTATGTGATAAACTTTTTTCACTCAGAATGTTTATTATTATTTATCTAAATAAACAAGTAATAAAACATTAAGATTGTTTTCATTATATGAAGATAATTATGTATGGGTTGAAACACATTTGTCTTTGCTTCAGTGATACACTTCCTGTTTCCCCACCGGACGAAAAGAAATAAAGGCAAAGTGTAGAAAGGGGAAGCAACTCCGTATACGCACGCATGTGTTACCATTAAAGAGCTTCGCTCGGGCGCCTTCGCTTATTAATATCCGTTCTCCATTAATTTCTGCTCATAAAATCTGTCTTTAAACATACATTGATGACCGTTCAATGCTGAAGATGATGCGTATTTTAGATCAGTAATATATACATATTTTTTTACAGTTAACACCAGTCGTAAGCCAACTGTCAAAATCACCACTCAAAGTTCAATATTCGATGCTGCATTACTAAGTGGTAAGGTAGTAGATGGCTGTACACAACAAAACTTCAGCCAAAAGTGTTGTTCACACACACAAATAGGTCAACAAGAGGCATGGTGGCAAGTAGATCTAGAGGGACCGATCGTTATGGAATACGTCAAAATATACTACAGAGGTAAGTATTCAATTCAACAGTAAAACACAAATCTGGTATGCTTTAAATGACAATTATGCTTTACATTTCAGTAACTTTATACATTACTGTGGTATCAAAATGCATATCGTTCAAGGCGACTAATGTATCCCCATTTTACTGATAATAATAACCAACAATGATTCTTCCCTTTACATATGCTTTGATGTGATATAGCAATTTAATGGAACGTTATATAAACATTACCGATAGCAAGTTCAATATATTTTTCATTTAGGTAAAAAGACCTAGTTTATAACCTAGTCTAAACAATACAGAAACAAAATATATGAAATTTATTTTGTATAAATTTGGGAAATATTCTATAACAATCTACAGACCGGTACTCGTTCGCTCGTCCAACGAGAAACGTTATAATTAATAGGTCTCATAATAAAAAAAAAAAAA